AAATAAAGCAAGAGATAACGTAAACTGAAAAAAGTATGAAATTAACTTACCTCTGGTCTCCCGTGTCCTATGTGCATCGAAAGTTTTAGATCCTTTGAGAAACTTCAAAAAAAGTTCGAACATGAAAAGAGAAGGCAATCGATCGATTAATAGTAAATCGAAAGAAACTGGAACAAATAGAAACAAATTGATGAAGTGCTTACCAGTGGCGCGTATGACAGCATAGTAAGATGGCTGACGAAGGCTGCTAGACATTTTTGGCTTTTCAAACAGGAAAGAATAAAAATTAGGATTCAAAATCGCTATCGACGGTAAATAGTTGCTTTTGGATTTTTCTTTTTGCCTTAATAAGAGGAAAAAACAAGCATGAGAAGAGTCAATCTTGTAGGTATGAGTGAAAGGTCATATTATCCTTTCTATTGTCAAGATGAAAATAAATAGTGAAGGATGGATAAGGCCATAAGGGCAGAATGGGAATAGAAAAAACTTCACAAATGAACAATAAATGGCGGATCATGATCCCTTTTAAAGTGGAGATAATATAGTAGTAGGGATAGGGATTTAAGATATAGACATTCATGCAATGTACCAAAGTAAGAGAAAAGGATAAGGAGCATGAAAAAAATATGGATTCTTCTTCTTGTACATTGGGGTGTACATAAGGGTGTCCACCCCTCTATTGGATGGAGTGTCGGATCCATTGGTACTCCACCAATAAGGAAATGTCGGGTGTCCATTATGGACATCCTTATATATACCCTGATATACTTGTAATAAAGCCCAAAAAATATTGTATCATTTAAAATTTATATTTTTTTCTACTTTTTGTTAGAGCTGCAGTCAAGGTTCTTCCTTCGTAGTGCCAAAGTCAAGACAAGAATAATTTAGTTTTAGGTCCGTGTTCTTCACGTAATGAATAAATTATAAGCTCGTTATTCATGATGTGTGAAACTGGAATACTTGTAAGTTAGGGTGCCCTTTTGGAGCAAGACGAACAATAATAAAATATTTTAATTCGTAATACACGAACGAGCGCTTGCTTGAATTTTTCTAGAACGGACGTGGTAAATATTTGAAATTCACCAAATAACGGAAAAAATAAAATATTTTATTAATCAATAAAATGAATGTAATGTTTTTACAATCTTAACACGTATTTATAGATAAATTTAAATAAAACTATAATTCTGCAAAAAGACAAAAATATCCTTAAATTAACTAAAATAGAAGAACGTTAAAACGGGCCTCGACACGATGAGATTTGATCCTAAAAAGTTTGATAATGTATTGTCATCCGACGACAATATGCAGAATTGAAAAATGCTTCTAAATTGTATTTACGGATGAAAATCCAACAACCAAGCTAAAAATTATACTTGTTTCCGTACATCCATTTTATTCTTTCACTTTTCTAATTGGTTTAAGATTTTCTCTTTTAATTGATTCGTATCATATTCTCTCCAAGAAAAAAGGTTAAAAACTTTGGTTCGATTGATAGACTTCACTACAATTTTGAGAGTAGAGAGCGGATTTAGGGACAACCATAGGCTACAACCTCTAAGTGTGGATGAAATATTTATTTGAAAACCCGACATAATTTTTTTCTGGCTCTCAACGTTGGAGTATCGGAAGGATTTAGTCTAAGTGTCTGCGCATGTGTATTTTGTGATCAATCACACAAAACTTTAGGAATTTCCGACGATTAAAAAATAATCGTTATTTATAAAATTGACTTCAATTTATGTTCCATTGTATTTTGATACGCATTACTAGACTAATGACTCGTTTGATATGATTTTTGAAAAGTCAAAAATTACTTTTAAAATTAAGAAGTTGTTTTTGATTATATTTTGATAATTTTCTGAATGTTTGGCTAGAAGGGTCTTTAAATGAAATTGACTCGAGGTATCATACTCCGCAGGGGTGTACCGGAAGTGGGGGCATGATGGGCATGCGACCCACCAATTTTTTGAAAATATTTTTTTCTTGTCTTTATTATTATTATTATTATTATTACTACTAGTCTTTCACCCGTGCGATGCACAAATTATAAATTAATACTGTTATGGATCATCTTATAAGTCACACGGACAGTTATAGTACAAACTCTACCGTTATAGCTAAATTGAACACCATTTTAATAAATTCAACTACCATTAAACAACAATACACAACATTACAGCAGATAACACATAACCACCGTATCGTCTCCTTATAACCATACCACCTCAAAACCCACGTTACAATAATATCATTTTCCAGTAAAAAAGNTATCGGAAGGATTTAGTCTAAGTGTGTGCGCATGTGTATTTTGTGATCAATCACACAAAACTTTAGGAATTTCCGACGATTAAAAAATAATCGTTATTTATAAAATTGACTTCAATTTATGTTCCATTGTATTTTGATACGCATTACTAGACTAATGAATCGTTTGATATGATTTTTAAAAAGTCAAAAATTACTTTTAAAATTAAGAAGTTGTTTTTTAATATATTTTGATAATTTTCTGAATGTTTGGCTAGAAGGGTCTTTAAATGAAATTGGCTCAAGGTATCATACTCGGCAGGGGTGTACCGGAAGTGGGTCATGATGGCACGCGACCCACCAATTTTCTGAAAATATTTTGTTCTTTTATTTATTTATTATTATTGTTGTTGTTGTTGTTCTTAAAAGAGCAATGTTATGTTGTGCACTTGTTTGAGCTTGTATCCGGGTTTGTACTGCAAGGAGCATCGAGGAAGGGTGAAAGGGTTATACTTGATAGTTTCGTAAATTGCAGGTTTAGCCCCTGACATTTTAAAATTATTCTAATTTCTACCTGAATTTCTATAATTTGTTCTCTATTTTTTTTGTTTATTAATTTTTATTTATATAAAACCCAAAGAATGAAAATAAAGCGACCTTCTCTCATCTTAAGTTAGATGCCTAAGAACATATTTGGAATAGCTTAGCTTAAATCCAAACAAAAACTAACTTTTCACGTGAGAAATTTAAATTGATGACCCTCCATTTTTGTTTCATTTATACTCGAGGAGAGTAAATTAGGTTAGTCGGGAAGTTTTATTTATATATATAAAAAATGTAAATACATGGGCCTTTTAATTTTTGGGATTTGGACATGGAAGCATTTGCAACCTAATAATGAAAGGTTACGTAAATGAACTAATTTGTGACTTAAAATTAAAATTAGGGAACAATACATAAATCCT